GAAAAAATAAACATTAATTTTTATTGTTCACCCCATATGATATTGTGAACGCATTGTAGATAAGAGATGGTATTTTTGTGATTTTTAAGCTATTTTGGATATTTACAATCAGATTTTATATCATATTTTATTTTGATTTTTAAAAGTTGAAAATGAAATTTTTGGTCTCTTGGGCTGCTACACACTCAAGCATGCAACTTGCATTGGACTTGCAAAAGCCAGATGCGCAAGCCTTCCCCCTTCTTCTTCTTTTCTTTGGTTTTTTCCTTTCCTTTTTTCTACCAATTTATTATCATTATTATTATTATTGAATTGGATGTGAAAATTATGAAAAAAACAATCGTTTTTTTTTCACACAAGCTAACAATCATGAAATATATACGATATATTTTTAGATTAAAATGAATATATATATCGGATTATATTACTCTCATTATTTAAATTTGATATCTTCAATTTGTCGTTTCTTATAAAAATTATCATAAAATTAATTTTATAATTTTTTATTCTTCTTTTTTATGTAATTTTATTTGTTAATAAATATGATTTATTTTTTCTATGTATGGATTTTTGAATAATTTTTTTAGTTATTTTTATTTGCTTATTCTTTATATAATCAACTTTTAAAAATAGAATTCATGTGTTTTATTTACTTATTCTTTATATAATCAAATTTTATTGCAATTAATTTTGTAGATTTTTTTTTATTACACTCTATTAACTTCAATATATTTTTTACAACTTAATTTTTTTAAAAAAATATTTTTTGATTTATGCTATACACTTTGACCCGAGTGAATGTGGTCATGATGTATAAAAAAATACTAGAATCATTGATTTTATTATAACTTAATTATAAATTTATGCACATAACACCAAGCAATTTGCTCTTATTTTTTAATATTTCAAAATTAATTTTTTTAAATAAAATAATTGAAATAATGTTTTAGAAGAATCATCTAATAATGCAAATATAATTTTTTATACTAATATTATTCATTATTTTATAAATAATTAAATATAAATCAAATATACACATTTTAAGAAAAATATTCTTCTCATCAGTATTAAAGGAGAATAAAAAAAATTATTTGTTAATTTGTATACAAGTTTTTTTATTAATTGTTGCTTTATTTCTTCAATGCAATGTTATGAAAAAAATATAAAGACATTTTTTAAAATTTTATATTTAGATTATTATTATTTTTATTTAAGAATAAATGTATAAGAAAGAACAAATTATGTTTTTTAACTACAAAATTAAAAAATCGATACAAAATTTTGTAAAAAAATATAAAATTAGGTGAAATTTTATTTTTTATTTTTTAATTTAATATATTTAGTTAATCGATAATATAATACATGTTATTAAATTACAATAAATATATTTAGTTTGGCCCGCAGACATAGAGCGGGAAGCAAACTAGTAATTACCTAAATTAGAAGTTTGGTGACTAATATAAACAAAAATTCACCATAAACGGAACAACATCAAAGGGCACGTGAGGGTTGTGTGAATTTTGAAATGAGGCACTTTCGGTGGCATTGGAATCATCTTGGCCAGACAATTACAATGGTCCAGCACATGGCCATTGATGGTTAACCGATTGCTAGTGGAGGTGGTTGTTCTCATGGTGTTTTGTTTTTGTTTTTTGGTTGCTAGGGCTTTCTAGGTCTAGGTGTCAGTGTACGTCTGAGTGTAGGTAAGGTAAAATGCATATATAGGAAACCCTAGGTCGAATTAGCAACAATTATCTTATTCTGACTTTAAAAAGCAATTGGGCTGGATAGGTTAAAAAATAGCTAAACAACTCTGATTTATTTTTCATCGGAATTACAAGCAATGTCGAGTACAATCATCAATAAAGATAAAACGATACTTAAACTACTTAAAACTAGAATTTGACAAAATTAGAATGTCTAAACATCCAAATGAATCATAAACAAAGAAATCGAACTATGAGAACTAATATACTCAAAAGTTAGTCATCTTGATTTTTCCAATTGATATGAAGTACAAATTTTGATTACAAACTTGAATTTAGACAAAGACAATGAAAGTCATAAACAATTCATAACATGTTGATGAGGATCATGGTTTTAAAAAATGATCATTATGTAGCATAATGATCATTATATAACGATAACAGGGCACTCCATTACCCTTTTTATATTTAGGCTATATAACATAATATGGCAACAATAAATTGTATTTATATTAAACCAATAGCTATTATATATAATTACAAGAGTGCCTTAAGAGTAAATACAATTAAAAAAAAGTATATACAATTATATAACACTAATAATTTTTAGAAGAATCTACAATCCTATTTTATTGTGAGATAGTTATCGCCTCTTCAAGAATCAAATTCTAAAAAAATCTTTCACCTCTTCGGAAAAAAAATATTTATATTGATAAACAATTTGTTATTTTATATAAATCTCAAGGCGCCAAATTGCCTCTATGTAAGGAAAGAAGGTGCAAATAGGATGTGGAGGCTCACCCGTAATTTTGCAATCAAAATTAAATAGACAGCTACAAGATGTTTCATGGTAAATGATTCATCAGAATAAGGCAATTTTGATATTCATCAGTGCCCAACTCCATCATTGGTTTGAAGAGAAAGAGAGAGGAGTTCAAGAAAGAGAGGTTTTGTTTATTTATTTATTTATTTTTGGTTCTAGTAAGAGAGAGAGTGAGAAGTATAGAAACGAAGCAAAGTACTTGATTTGGGTTTCTTGGGGTTTTTGCACAAAGAATCTATAAGTTTTGGATCCAAGTTTTCCTCACGTGACTCTCATATGTGATTTCTTTTAATTTAGGATAAATTATAATTTGTAAGTTCTTATGGTTTATGTATTATCTTAATTTCATCCAAAAATATTTGTTTTGTTTCAAGTAATCTCTATAAGTTTTAAATTTGTTGCAACATTAATCTCTATTAGGTAGGTTAACATAAGCCTAATAAACATCACGAAAAAGGCACACATGCATTTGTTATAACAAATAGACCAAATTTTGGTTAGATAATATAATTGGGTATTACAAAATCGATCACATGATCACAAGGGATCAGATGAATACAAGAGATTACAAAAACACAAAACTAAACCACCCAGATCTCTGTTTTTTAAAAAAAAAATTAAAAAAAAAAGAAAAAAAGAAAACAACAGCAACAACAGAATTCAACAATAAAGAAGAGATAATATATGGAAACAAGAAATCTAGGGTTATTAACATCAGACCCTATCTTTATAACGACAAATTAGGATATTTAATCATCTATGTTTAAAAATTTTGATGAAAAACAAAGAATCTAAAATTAAGAGGAAAAAACTACACATATGCTATTATTATATAGGCTCAATTATAAAAAATTTATTATTTAACAAATATTTTCATTTTAAAAAAATACTACTATAAAACTAATAATGGATCAACCAATTAATATATAAAATTAAACAAAAAAAACTTCTCTAATCAACATATCTTATCCAATCTAAATTTAAATAACCTTTTACTCTAAAATTCAATTTCATATCGTCATCTTTCAAATAGCCACCATTCTTAATTTTTTTTTTCCTTTTCTTTTCTTTTCTTATGAGAATGGATCATTGCCTTCATAAATGAACATAGTGAAGTTTTCCTTTGTTTTAATTTTCAATCTTCTCTTTGCATCAGGTTATGTTTAAGTAATTTATTTACTTTTTAAAAATACATATTTTTATATAACAATCTTAAATATTTGATCGTCGTTACGTAATTTATTTGCTTTTTCTTTTTTTTGGAGTGGGGCCTATCTGATAATAAAAATGGATCGTTGTTTTTTATTTTTATTTTTTTCTTTTGATGTCTTTACAATAGACTTATATGACAATTTTAAATGTGCAGTTAACATACACGTCAATCTAGAGTTAACAAATCTATTTAAATAAAAAAATTTACAGGTTGGTACACTTTAAATAGTAAAAGATTAAAATTTACACACTCAAATAAATAAAAAATGACAAATTTGTAAGGAAAAAAAATAATAAAGAACTAACAGCAAGACCCTCATGTTGTTACCATGTGAGCAATTAACGACTACCTCCACATAAAGTTAACGAAAATTAACAAAAGCACTTAAAAAAAAAAAAAAACTTAATCTAGTTAAATAACAAAGATTAAATATCACATGCACAATTAGAAAGAACAAAAAAATTGACAAGTTGAGACACCAAAAATATAACCACCATAAATTAAAAGCAACTACATGGACGTACCTTTTACACGTGGTTTAACGGAAACTAACTTTGCAATAAATTTGAAATTTTTGGAAGGTTAATTAAAACTAAACAAAAGTTATTTTAGATGAAATTAAGACAGTACATAAACCTTGCAACAAATTGAAATTTACCCTTTCGAAAATTAGAAAACCACATACCAATATAATGAGTCATTACCATAAATATCTTTAATTCCTTTTTATTTGGAAATTTCATGGCCTATTATTTTCACATTTAAATCTAGTAGAGACAAAAAGATCCAAATTTAATGACCTGATCTGTATGATGTGCTGACTTAGGGTGGCATTGCTGGGAGTGAAAATTTGGCGACATGCACAAGTTTGAAGACTGAAAAGTAAAGCAATATCAAGAGACATTCAAAATCATATCCTGGCCCAACACAAGCACTGGTAAATATACCCAAAAAAACATGTACATAACTTTCAGTTTAATTAATCTAGCTTTCGAGTTCGTAACAGCAACCCCGACAAACCCAAGGTCATATGATCTTTTCTCAAACTATATTCACATATCATAAACAAAAATATTTTTATTGTCTCTTTATTATTTTCAGAACCAAATTGGTCAATCATAAGCCTCAGTCACATAAAATTAACTATAAAAAAATAAAAAATGTTATTGCAATAATAAACTCGAACCAACCTACCTGTTTTATTCCGAATGTGTACCCCTGGGTGGATAAAATTAACAGGGATTTTAATTTTCCATCCTTAACTCATGAATACTCTACTGTTTTGTATCTTCTCTGCCTCGACTACAGTCAAATGGATAATGCCGTTCTCCTTCATCCTTTTTCCTCCTCCTGACAAAGTATCTCGGAGCTGCTTCTCGCTCATCTTTAACAACTTCAAGCCATCACTTGTTTTAGGGAAGAAAGCTTCAGGCCTCAAGCACCAAGCCCGAAATACTCCAAACAAAATCTCCAAATCACAATTAAACCTTTCAACACCAGCATCATGAAACTTCACGTTGCTCATAAGAATGCCATTAAAAAGCAAGCGATCTACCCCCACTGCCAAACTTCTCCAGACACCAACAAAATCTATCTGGTTCATATTTTCTTCTACTACTGCCGTCTTTCCTTGCAAATAATCTAGAGCCCCGACTAAATTTTTGGAGATTGTCCAACTTTCTTCACACTTTTCTTGCCACTGCCTCCTGTTTTTCATATATTCTCGACACCTCGCATCAAATCCCCTCAAAACAACAACTGATATCTTTTCAACCCACTCTTTTCTGAAATCCTCCAACCTTTCTATCTCCTCATGAAAAACGCAACCAACAGGTCCATCAATTTGCCCCTCCAAACCACTATTATCACTAATCCCTATTCTCAGTTGATCACTGTGATCCAATCCCAATTCAAGAAAAAAGGTGTCCTCACACCATTCCCTCAAAACAGATTCAAAGTAGTGAGCAGCATTAACAGAGTTTGCAACCTTGATTAATGCATTGTCATCCGTTAATGCAGTCAGTCCTTCGGCTTCTTGGCACCTAAGTAGCAAACAATTCAAATATTGTTGTATAGTGGGTCCACCAGCCAATTTCAGAAACCTTGACCTCAAAAGGGTGTTAGGCAGTGATCGACATCGATCAACTACCAACAATAGATGCTTAAGGAAGACACTTGAAACTACAGGAGATTTGTAACTTTCAAAACCAGATAAAAGGGCTTCCCCTTCAATTTTTGTTGTCCAATTTCTCTCATCATCAACCTCGGGTTTTAGCTTCTCAAGTGTGTCATTAAGCTCAATTTCTGCCCATATGTCAAGCCAGTCAGGTCGATCACAGAAGACAGATAGAGAAGAAATCTTCTTCAGGTTGCTATCTTCCTGAAGGGAAAGCGAAATTCCAGAATGTGTCACCAGAGACTGAATTCGTAGATCAAAAGCAATCATAAGGTCAACAAGATGAAGCCATGAAATTCTAGCCTTTGATCGAGCACCATTAATGCTTTCTCCATCCAGTTCAGCAACATATGTAGGGAATATCTCTTTTGCCAAGTATGTTACTGAAGAGGCTACCATTGCTGAAATCCATTCTTCTCTGCAACTGTAACCCACTAACCTTGCTTCATCAACCAGTGGTTGCAATAATTCATCCATAGTGTCAACATAATCCCTGGTAATCTTGTAGACAAGAGCAAAAATAAATTCCGGCTTATCAATCCACTTCGAAAAATGTCGTTGGCATGCAATTGATATAGGATTCACAAGTTCTTCGATTGCCCAAAGTGGCTGCTGCAGGGCCAGTTTCCTGTTGTGACCATCAAGTTGCCTTGATTTTCTCCGACTCTGCAGCTCCTGCAAGTGACACAACGAGAGAAAGTTTTCACAGTACTGGTGTTTAAGAAGCCCTTTCATTGTGAAAAGAGGATTAGGGACTTCAGTTGATTTTCCAGCATCAAGGTTTGAGGACGTCAAAGTGGAAAGTGGCGGTGGCCATCCCAGGGATGCAAGAAGTGATCGATGATCTGCAATTGCCTGTGGTCTTAATGTGGCAAGAGCTCGATCTATTCTGTGATCAACTGCTGATACAAGACTCGCCCACTGAGGATGAGCCTTTCTAACTGAAATTAAAACATCTTCTGTATGTCCAAGTCTTTCAATAGCAAGAAGGCGGTTTTCCTGCAAACGTAAAATATAAAAAATTGAAGCAATAAAAAGATATTTGGAAGAGCATTTACATCATAATAAATTAAGGACTGCTCACTTCTACACTTTGTGTGGAGGAATGCTTCCTTAAGTTTTTGTTCATTGCAGAAGATACAGCATCCTCAATATCACCAACCAATGTATCAAGTTTCAATGCCGTCTCTGAAAGGTGCAAGAAAGTTGTTGAGAAAACTGACAGATTTTAACCACATGTTATTCTTTAATTTTCTTTTTTATTTTCGTAAATATTTTCGTAAATGTTAGAAGTCACTAATAAATTTAAACGATTTTCAAACATGTTAGTAGTCAAAGATAAATTTAAGCAAAAGAAGGCACTCTTATAACTAGTTCTACAAAAGATATAAGGAAATGGGGCCAAAAACACTTTGAAATTCATACTTCAGGGACGGTTCTTTATTTTTGCAGTTAAGAGACAACTGATTTCTTCATTTGCAAGCGTCCTTAACTCAGTGTGAATAGGAAGAGGTATATGAGATGGCATAACAATTATATTTGGCAATCTGAAACAGATTTGACTTTATATTTTAAATTTAGGAAAAGGTTCCCGTATATTATATGTGGGTAATTTCTGAAGGCATTACAATTATAGTGCCATCAAGTTACAGACCACCACGTAATTATGATGTTTACAATATATATTAAATGCTTTTATTTATTGTAAAGTAATAACTTATCTTATCAATCATTAACTTAACTGATTACCACGTAACTATGGCAGTGATTAATATTATAGCACAATTACAACTAAAAAATTGTATTGTTACATTTAAAAAGAAAATAAAGATTATTCATTTAGTTATAAGTGTGATGCAGACAACCAAAGACTAAGATTTATGTGTTTTATTTAAGTTTAAGAATTTAAGGGTATTTTAGTAATTTTTCACGTTTGCTGGAAATCTGGAAATTGTTTAGGTCTAGGCTTTATTTCTGTTTAGTATTTTATTTTTTAGTACTAAAGTTATTTTGTTTTCCTATTCTAAAATTGGAATAGTTATAGGTTTTTCCTATTTTAAATAGAATTAGTTCTTCTGAAGGTTTATTCTAAATAGAAATAGTTATGTTGAAGGTTTATGAATTCTTCTCCTAGTAGGATTTGGACTTCTACAACCCTATAAATACAGAGTGTAGTCTTTCAAAATTATGAATGATAGTTTATGAATAAAATTCCAGCAGCTTGCTTTGAATGGTGTGACTCTTAAGAACCCTATGTGTGTTTACTAGAAATCTACCCACTAGTAGAAATCTACCCACATATTTCCTCATATTCCACCAAAGTCCTACTTTAATATAATCCAGTACGATCCTAAACATCCTCCAAAAATCAAATCCAGAACAACCCTTCAGTTGTCCTGCATCAGTTGGTATCAGAGTAGGTCAGACACTTCCCTCTCTTCTTTTCTGAATTTCTTCTCAAACCATTTTATTCTCTGACAATGGCTAGCAATGCTGAACTTTCCTCAAAGTTGAGTCTTTTTCAAAGAATTTTGAGACGTTTCAGAAAGAATTCGAAGAATACAAACAGAAGGTTGCATCAATCAAATCCACATTGGATAAGGTTGAATCAATGGAATCGACCTAGGATGAAATAAAGAATGTACTAAAGAATTTAACAACTAGTGACAAGGGGAAAAATCTTGCTGAAACTGCACCAAGTCAAGCTGTTGATCATCTGAATCCATCCTCTACTTCAGCTACCATGCTGCCACAAGTTGCATCTACAAGTTCTTTAAATTTTTATTGAGCTACCCTCAACCAGCCAGTGCCTAACCAAATACAATCTATAGTAGGCTCATCAATGCAATCTTTAGCACAAAAGGTAGAAACTCATCCTTCTTTTCCTCCTCAAACTCGATATCAAGAAAATTTAACGATAAATGATATAAATAAAGATATTAAGCTTGATGTTAGTTATTTTCATGGAGAGAGTCATCTGGAGGTATTTCTTGATTGGTTACATGGTTTGGAAAGTCTCTTTAGGTGGTATCACTTGGATGATGAGCAAAAAAATTATTTTGTGGAAGCTAAGCTAAAAGGGACAGCTAGAGTTTGGAGAGAAAAATTTCAGCAAAGTCATTATGCTACCCTTAGAACTTGGGAAGATATGACGATTGCTATGACTGCTCATTTTGTAGCACCTAATTACAAGCAACGAGTTCACATGCAATTTATGCAATTGACACAAGGAAGTTTAAGCGTCGATGAGCACACTAACAAATTTTTCAGCTTAGCAACAAGGTCAGAATTTCCATGGAATGAAGATGTCATAATATCTATGTATCAGCAAGGGCTGAATTTACAAATTTCTTTTGATTTAGCTACTTGTAGGCTTTAAACAATGGCTCATGCAGTTCAAGTTGCTGCTCAAATTGAGGAAGAAGCTAAAAAGAAGACTTCTATGAGATTTACAACCACTTCCTATGGTAAGAATGAAAGGCCAGCTATTGAGTTGAGTAAAGAAGGAATGTCAGTCCATTCACAACCTTTCAAACATCCTGATGGTTCAAAACCACCTTCTTCTTATATAATCCCTACCAAAGGTAGAAATAATAAAGGACCTGTTTGTTTTAAATGTAGACAACATGGACACATGAGTTACCAATGTCCTAAGAAGAATATTTGCATGTTGGGATTGCACAAGGAAAGGAAGCTGCAGAACAAGAATCTGATTTGGACGGAAATTCTTTTGATTTTGGGCCTTATGAGGCGGATGACCTTGTCGATGATGAGGATGCAATCACATGATTTCAAAACTCGAGGTCGAGTTTTCTCCAAGCTGGAGAGGATGATGCGGATGAAAAAAGACTAAGATTTATGTGCTTTATTTAAATTTTAGAATGCAAGGGTATTTTAGTAATTTTTCAGGTTTGCTGGAAATCTGGAAAATGTCTAGGTCTAGGCTTTATTTCTTTTTAGTATTTTATTTTCTTAGTCCTGAAGTTATTAGGTTTTTCTATTCTAAACTAGGAATAGATATAGGTTTTTCCATTCTAAATAGGAATAGTTATGTTGGAGATTTAGCAATCCTTGTCCTAGTAGGATTTGGACTTCTACAACTTTATAAATACAGAGTGTAGTACTCTTTCAAAATTATGAATGACAGTTTATGAATAAAATTCCAACCATTTGCTTTTGATTGTGTGACTCAATCCCCCTCTTAAGTGTGACTCTTAAGAACTGTAGGTGTGACTACTAGAAATCTACCCACACATTTCCTCATATTCCAGCAGAAAACTACTTTAATACAACCTTATACGGTCCTAAACAGCCTCCAAAAATCAGATTCAAAACAGCCCCTAAGCTTTCCTACATCAAAAAGTAGATTCACTTACCGCAGCATAAAAATTGTCTTACGTTTTTGTAATTTAGCTAATCACTCCATAATTACAATAATTACAAAAAAATAAGTATAATTTCAATAAAAGAAAGTTCCTTGTTAACTTAAAGAAGAAAAGAAATATTATTTAATTCAAAAAATAAAAAACCATTTTTAAGTGATTACGATCTAATATGTAACTACACTTATTGTACAATTACAAATCAAAAGATACTTTGTTACCTGTAAAAGAAAAATAAATATTACTCACTTCATAACAAGCGATTACGAAATGTTCAATAGATTCACTCAAGGCATCGTAAAAAGTTATCTTTAAGTAATTTAGCTAATTGCCCTATAATGATGATAGCTATAAACAATTAAGTATGTTTCAAAAAAAAAAAAAAAAACTTGAAGACACTATAATTATAATGCCTTGGAATAACCACAGCAAGGCCTATCTATATCTTGTTAACTCGAAGCACAAGTACCATTTATGTTGTGCATTAGATACTACAATTGTTATGCTACTAAAGAAAGATTAAACAAAAAGGTTTTAGAATAAATATTAGTAATAGGGAAAAAGAATGTTGTTTCCCTTCTATGCAAATCCCTCACACTGCAGGAACTTTTTGCACATTTTCCAGGAAAAAAAGAAGAAAAACCATCAACAAATTAAGCAAATAAAGACTGAGGGGAGACAAGCAAATGGTAGAAAACACCATGCATGTAAAGGAAGATGGCACTGGTAAATTCATATGATTGGTAACTCCTGTAGTACTAAACTTCATTACATCCTACACTCAACACCCTACAGAACCTCCACCATGCCAAAAGTGTTAAAAGAAACAAAGAAACAAAAACAATGACAAGGAAAAAAAAGCTACTAACTGATTTTGACATGACCATCAACGTACACAAATGTGAAGAGGATTGGTCAGTTCAGGATAATAGAATCAATTAACCTTAAATTCCAACATAAAATGATGTAGAAAACTGTGAATATCCAATAAAGTCCATTCTCATGTTAGATAAATCAGAGATTTACCACAGAAAACAACCCATCCTCAAATTGTGCAACAAATACATACAAGCCTAGTTAGGGAACCATCAGGAAACAGCAGAACATAAACTCTCCAGTTGGAGAAACATGGCCAAAAAAGTAGTGGTAAAAAAGCCTTCTCTCTATAGGTTGTCAATCACAAGTGTAAATCAATCAAGCAACAAAATTTTGGAATACTTAACAGCAACATTTATTTATTTATTTATTTCAGTAGTAAAACACAAAACTGACCGGCATAGGCCCGAACCATTTCGACTCTAGCCACCTCCTTGGCCAGCGCGGGTAGGTCCTCGCCCAATATCTCCTCTTTCCTTCGTTGTCCATCTAAACATTTCACAATTTTCAACAAATAAAACCATACATTCAGTTCTCCATGATTTTTATAAAGACAAAAAAATAACAAAAGATTGAAACTGAAAGTTAACCTGATGGTGGTAGAGAAGAAGAAGAAGAAGACGGGGGCAAGTGAAGGAACATAGATCGGTCAACTTGGAAGAGGCATCATGGAAAAGGAGAAGAATTCCATCGGAGGAGGAAGCGTAAGAGAGAAAAGTGGAATGGAGTCTGGAATTGAGGTCGATTAGGGTTTGCTCCAATTCGAAACACTGAGACTGAAGCTCGTTGAAAAAGCTTCGTGCTTGGCTGAGATCTTGTTCACTGTTGAGAAATGAAAGAGCTGAGGAGGAGAGAGCCGATACTGGTGGCAGAGTTATTTGGATTGATGCGTCCATTGGATTGGATAGGGAAGAAGGAGTGAGTAAATTTAATGGTTGAGTGAGGGTAGTTTAGGTATATTTCTCCTCCACCGGTTAGTTATTTATTTTATTTTATGTGGAGAACCTTCTCCGGTTACGTTAGTTATGTTTGTTTTCCTTCTGTAACTCTATTTCATTCCATCTATTTACAGTCCGAAACAGAAAATTAGAGGGCAAACTATTATCTGGTCTTTTGTATTTTCGAGAAACTACTAGTTTGATTCCTCTAGTTTTCATAATAATGATTAATCTTTAGACAATATTAGGGAGGTAAAATATATAAAATTATTTTTAAAAATTTTATTTTATTTCGATATTCTCAATTATATTGTACGTTCATCAAAATATATTAAATCAAAATTGAATAAAAATTTATCCAATTCTATCATTTTTAATCAAAATTTTATATCTGATTAAATATTTTTTTATATTTTCATAAACTTTTTGTTAAAAAATATTATTTATTTACCTTTATCCATATTTTTAGATAAAACCTAATTTTATAAATTATTTTTTAAAAATATGTTTTTGTCTTAAAATTTTTAATTAAAAAATTAGAGGAAAAAAATAATGACCAAAGTGATCAAAATGAAACCAAAAAAATGAGATCAAAATTAAATAAAAAAATATTTACAAACTAAAAAATAATATTTAAAAAAAGATACCAAAGTATAATGTTACGAAAGCTTTCATAATAAATATTTAAAAAATATTTAAAATTTACAAATATATTATTGTACAGTGAAATGAAAAATATTTTTAAGTACGGATGAATAGTGCAAATGTATAGTGTTTCAAATATGGAGTAAATAGAAAACTATAGTTTTAGTTTAGTTTTTTTGTAATTTGATGGTGAAGTTAGAATATCATTTTGCAACAAATTGGCACCAGCTCAGCTTTTAAATGATGGAAAATAAACGGAGAGGTTAAATTATAAATGGATATGAAAATGTTGAAATTAATTAAAATTTTTAAGGAAAGGACTACATTATATGTTACTTAAGGATATAGGGACTAACGTATAATTTACTCAATCAATAGTAAGTCTATTTCCTGGTTGTTTATGCCCATATCTTGTGCTAGGGATGGGAATGATAACTGCATCCATTTATCTAAACAGAAACGGGCATGAGAGAAGTTTAATCTTCACGTAATTAGAAGTAGAAACAGGTAAAAATATTAGATTTATTCTGGACTTAATTATAATTTCTATTTTTATTTTTTGTATAAAGTTGTCAATTTTTTAAATTTGAGTCTTTTAACTTTAATTCTAATCTTCAGATAGGTAAAAGTAGAAAAAGGTAAAAATATTTGATTTATTTGAGAGTTAATTATATTTTTGGTGTATATTTTTTTCCCCTATTTAAGTGTTTTAACTTTAATTTTTGTTAGTTAAGTATATCAAATTGTAATTTTTTTTGTATTTTAGTGATTCTGCTAACTTTCATCAACTTTATATTTGTAACTATTAATTTCATATGTGGCACCAAATTGTGAGCTCTATTATCAAACACATGACAACTAGAAAAAAATTATTATGTATTTGGTGTATATATATATATCCTATGTTATTCCAATGTAAATGTTAAGTGTGAATCAATAGATCTTTCATGGTATTAGAACCTTGTTAACTTAATGATTAAGAGTTTGAATCCTACCGCTCATATTTTCTCTTCTAAGTAATTACGCATAAGATAGTGTGAGTCCGTGCATGTTTCAAATTCAAAAGGTTTTCACTTCGTGGGGTGTCTTATGCTACCGATCTATTGCTAAGGGCTAAGATGAATGGTTCTAAACGTATCCCTATGCCTACTTGTCCACACAGCAAGTTGAACAACAATGGAGGAATGGCTTTCACAAATCCTTTTCTCTATAGAAGTATTATAGGTTGGTTGCATTACCTTAGTGTTACTCGGCCGGACTTAGCCTACTCGTGAATAAGGTTGCCTAGTATATGTATGCCCCAATAGAGGACTATTGGGCAACTATCAAAAGGATCATCCAATATCTACAAGCTATAAAAGATCATGGCTTGTTTTTCTAGAAGTTTTATGCCTTTTCCATCAATGCCTATACAGATTTAGATTGGGGTGACGATGTAGATGATTACAAAAGCACATCAAGTGATGCCATCTATCTTGATAACAATCTAATTTCTTGGCGATCTAGGAGGCAACGCACAATTACTCAATCTTCTACCGAAATTGAATACCAAGTTTTAGACACCACCTGTGTCTGAAGTTGAATGGATAAAGTCTTTTATGCGAGAAATTGGTGTGCCATGTACCACACCTTTCAACATTTTATGTGATAATGTCTCGACCACATATCTTACTATCACCCTTATTTTTCATTCACGGTCCAAACATTTAGAAATTAATTTTCACTTTGCAAGGGATAAAGTCCGTAAGGGTTTGCTCCAAGCCCGTTAGTTATCCACTACTAAATAAATTGCGGACATTCGACAAAGTTGTTATCAAGAACACAATTTCAACAATCACACTCCAAGCCGCACATTCTACCAATTCTCGCATAACTTACCGAAAGGTGATAAGGATTGATGTCTAGTCCTATTTTCTTCTATAGTTTAGCTATACTTTAGTTATATCACTACAAAGAGTTAGCTAACTATAAAGACTTGTATATATATCCTATGTAATTCCAGTGTAAATTTTAAGTGTGAATCAATAAATCTTTCAAATATGTCCATTAACTATACATGTGACACCATCATGTAACCTCTATTGTCAAATATGTGACAAGTAGAAACTTCACATTACTAGATTCAAATTAAAAATTCAAAAAAATTATTTAACAAATGCTTGTATTAAAAAAATTACTATTACAAAAATAAATATATATAATTAAAAAATAAATATCTCTAATCAACTCATCTTACCCAATCTATATTCAAGCCCTACTTCACTTCAAATCAAAACCCAATTTCACATCATGATCTTCTAAACTACCACCATTCACTCCAAAACTAGGGGTTAATGTTCAAAATTTTACCTCCTCATCTCTCAAAGAGAACACCAAATCATCTTGCCGGATCTCACAATTTGCAAGTAAACCTAATAACCGTGCACCACCACCAACAATTATCACAAGTCACCCAATAGTAAACCATGCCCAACACTAGGAAAAAAAAAACCATTAATGCCATTAACTTCAAACCTCACTACCACATATTAGAATTGATAACTACTACCAAATTATTTAAAAAAAAAAGGAGAGAGAAATCAAGTCGAATGGATGAACTATAATTGTCGATGTTGGAGGATAACATAAAAGAAAAAGGAAGGGAAAAAGACATGATTGAGCTAGTAGTTTCCAATGAACCACTACTACTCTAGCCACTATCGACTTTCAACCATCACTATGAACAAGTTATATCTATCCTAGAGCTCCTCGTCAACCCATTTATTTGGAGACATAAATTGATAGAACTACATCTTATAAAATCCAATATTTAATTTGATGTTTGGATAATTTTTTAATATGTTAACTTTTTTTTGTGAGGTTTGGTGTTTAGAACTTAGTTTTTCTATTGAGAATGAGAATGGATCCAACCAAGATTTTTTTTTTTAATTCTTTCCTTCTATTTGGTTATTTTTATGTAATTTGTTTGCCTTTTAAAAAATATTTTTATGTAAATCCATGAATATCTAATTTTTGCTATATAATTTTTTTTTTATTGCTATCTAAGAATGAGAATGAATTATTATTTTTTTATTCTTTTTTCTAGTTGCCATATGTCCGACAATAGACCTACTTAATGATGCTACGTTTGTAGTTAATGAATACATAAGCCTAGAGTTAACGGAATGACTCAAACATTAATGATAAAAATTTAAACACTCAAATAGAAAAACTTGACAAGTTTATACATCAAATATGTAATAATTTTTTTCTTAATCGCCACATGTTTAAGAGTGGGGTCCACAATTTAGTGCCATGTGTGCAATTAAGAATCATATAAGCATAAATTTAAGGAAAAAATAACAGAATCACTCAAATAGAAAAAAATTAATAAAAAATACAATTAACCCATTTATTCGGATACGTAAGTTAGTAGGACATTCTCCGACACGATGGACCTCCATGCACGAATTTATAAATATAAATAATTTATTATACTTATAATTTTTCAATGTATATCTAAAATAACTTGTGTGATTTTTGTTTATTTTCTAAAATTATTTTGATTAACTTTGTTTGATACATGTGAAATATCTTATTTTTCAATGGCCTATATACTTTACTTAATCGAATTTTGTTATAAAAAAATAATAATTTAGTCTCTTCAAAAGTATTTTTCAATTTATTTATTAGATGCTCTCCATTTCCGATATAACAACTCTCGATTGGCTTGCTCAACCAATCAGTATAGTACACATAATAATAAAGATGCATTTTAGTTGAGTTATAATCCCTCACAAAACGTCTATAGTAGACTCATTGGTTTTTTTACCCGTGCTATGCTACGGGTTAGATAAAATATATAAAATTATTTCGGTTTAATAGTATTTGTTATGGCGTTAATCTATAAAAATATATGAAATCAAAGGTGAAAAAAATTATTTATAATTTTTTAATCAAAATTTTGTATTTAACTATTTCTTATTTATATTTTTCATAATTTTTCTTTAAGAAAAATGATTTATCCTTGTTAATCCATGGATTATTAACTAAAAAGAAAATTAAATAAAAATTTTTTAGAAAGCTTTAGTATTTCATAAGATTGTGTCAAAAAACTAAAATAACAATTAATAAAAACTTACATAGAATTGAACAAAAAAATGTTTTTAATTTTTATTTAATATTGATGAGAATATCGATTTTTGAAATATTGTGAATTTAATTTTTATATATGTATTCACAAAAGAATGAATAATATTAAAATGAAAAACTATATTAATTTGAATCATTGAGTGATTAAGCCAAAACATAATTTTAATTATTAAATTAAAATA